GAGTCCCAAAGAAGGTGGACCCAAGAAGGAACACACCAAGGCACATCATAATTACATTAGCCAAGATTCAAATGAAGGAGAGAATCCCAGAAGCAGCAAGAGATAAGGGGACAGTCACCTACAAAGGAGTCCCCATCAGACTGTCAGCTGATTTCTCAAAAGAGACCTTACAGGCAAGAAGGGGCTGGAAAGAGGTATTCCAAGTCATGAAATCCAAAGACCTACAACCAGGATTGCTCTATCCAGCAAAACTTTCATTTAGAATGGAAGGACAGATAAAGTGCTTCTCAGATAAGATCAAATTCAAGGAGTTCATCATCACCAAGCCCTTATTATATGAAATGTTAAAGGGACTTATCTAAGAAAAAGAAGATAAAAAATATGAACAGTGAAAGGACATCAAACTCACAGTTATTAACAACCACATCTAAAACAAAAGCAAACTAAAAGGACAGCTAGATCAGGAGAAGAACCATAGAAATGAAGATCATATGGAGGGTTAGCCACAGGGGAGTGGGAGGAGAATTGGGGAGAAGGTACAGAAAATAAGTAGCATAGACAGTAGGTAGAAAATAGACAGGGGGGAGGGCACGAATAGTATGGGAAATATAGAATCCAAAGAACTTGAGACACATGGTCATAAACTAAAGGGGGGGAATGGCAGGGGTGGGGGGTGCAGGGTGGAGGGGAATGAAGGGGGAATAGAACAACTGTAATGGCATAATCAATAAAATAAAAATTAAAAAAGAACTTATGACACACAGACATGAACTAAAGGGGGGGAGTATGGGTTGGAGAGGGTGTGCAGGGTTAAGGGAAATAAAGGAGAAATGGGACAACTGTAAGAGCATAATCAATAAAATACATTTTAAAAAAAGAAATGCAAGTGAAGTCAGTAATAAGACTATTTTGTCTAATAAGCAAATCACCAGTTTGCTGAGGACTTGGGAATGAAGCATTTTTGGTGGGAGTGTAAAATGGCTTAACTGTAAAAAATAGAAAAGTAATTTGGCTATATGCATCAAAGTTGCACTGTGTAATCAGTCTCTCCACAGGCAACCCCACTCTTAAGAATTCATATAGGGTCCTGGCTGGTGTGGCTCAGTGGATTGGGTGCAGACCTGCAAACCAAAAGGTTGCCAGTTCAATTCCTGGTCAGGGTACATGTGTGGGTGCACACCAGGTCCCCAGCTGGGGGCATACAACAGGTAGCCCATTTATAAATGTATCTCTTACACACTGTTCTATGTTCCTCTCCCTCCCTCTCTGTCTCAAAAAATCTTAAAAAAAAAAAAAAGAATTCAGACAGAGATATGTATATAAGGTATGAATGAAGCAAAGAAAAAATATATATTGGTCTCTGTCCCCAGTTTCCAGCAGAGTTCCTGAAGCCCTTGTAATTCCCTAAATAAAAACACTATAAGCATCTCTTGTTCTAAAGAGGTGACTAGGTGGGCTCTTCGATGGGGGTTGGTCAGAAAGATCAGAAAGACTAGAAAAAGAAACTTGGAGTTTTTATACCTACCCCTCATCTTTCAGAGAAGGGAGAGTAGCTGGATATGGAGTTACTTGGAGTTACTTGCCAATATGAGGGAGCCTGCATAAAAATTCCAATTGTAGGGGTTTTGGAGAGCTTTCAGGCTGGCACCTTAACTCCATGGAGGTAGAAGTTCCTGTTTTGGGGACCCTCCCAGACCTGTCCCTATGTATGCATCTCTTCATCTGGCTATTTATCTGTGTCCTTTATCATATCCTTTAATAAACTGCTGACATGTTTCCCTGAGTTCTGTGAGCTACATAGGATAATGATCAAAACTGAGGAAGGGGTTGTGGGAACCTTCAATTTGTGGGCAACCTGGGGACCTACTACTTGCAAGGGTCATCTGAAGTGGGGTGGGGGACTGAGTCCTTAACCTGTGGGATCTGATCTATGTCCAGGTGGATAGTATCAGAATTGAGTTAAATTGTAGGATATCCAGCTGGCGGTGCAGAGGAATTACTTGGTAGTGAGGCTGGGGAAACCTCCACATTTGGTGACCATAAGTAAAGTGTTTCATGTGAATAGTAAAGGAGAACTCTGGAAACACAGAAGGGAAGAACTAGGTTTTTCTCTACATGGAAAGAAAAGAGTTTGTTTCCTACATGTAAGGCTAGATATTTTATCCTCACCAAAGGACATTTTTTCATTGCTTTTGTTGAGGGGGAGAAATATATCTATGGACTACCTTCTCTTTTGCAACCAAACTGGGAATCAAACCTGACGCCTGGGTATTGTGCACTGACAGGGTATGGAACCTGTGATGGGATGACACTTGAAGCAACTGAGCCACACCAACCAAGGACATAAGGCTAGTTATTTGAGAGGATTTCTTTAAAAATCAGCAAATAAAGGAAAATAATGTCAATTGGAAATTGCTAAATTGTTACTGTATTGAGACTACAATGAAGCCTTTTAAAGGTCTTTTTTTTTTTTTTTTAAGATTTTATTTAGACAGAAAGGAAGGGAGGGAGAGGGAGAGAAACATCAATGTGTGGTTGCCTTTTGCACGCACCCCACCAAGGAGCTGGCCCACAGCCCAGGCATGTATGTGCCCTAACTGGGTATCGAACCAGTGACCCTTTGGTTCACAGGCCAGTGCTCAATCCACTGAGCCACACCAGCCAGGGCTAAAGGTCTTGAATTTTTACATTGATAAATACTGAAGTAACTCCATGTCAGAGATCTTAAAGACATTATGGGTAAGTGAAAAAAATTGCAGAAATTAAGACTTCCAGCCAAGATGGAGGCATAGGTTAGTACACTTTGCCTCCTCTCACAACCAAAAGGACAACAAATTTCAAAACAAAAAACAACCACAACTGACAGAAAATTGAACTGTGTGGAAGTCCAACAACCAAGGAGTTAAAGAAGAAACATTCATCACAACTGGTCAGAGGGGCAGAGACAGGCAGCTGGGTGGAGAGGACTCCTCGCAAGGCAGTGGCTGGAGGACAGGGTAGGCAGTCCCATGTTTGTGTGTGGACAAACTGGGGGGAACAACTAAGGAACAAGATAGACTGCACAATCCAGGGTTTCAGCACGGGGAACTAAAGCCTCAAAACCTCAGACTGAAAAAAACCTGTGATGGTTGAAGCAGTGAGAGAAACTCCCAGCCTCACAGGAGAGCTCATTGGAGAGACCCACAGGGTCCTAGATCATACACAAACCCACCCACCTGGGAACCAGCACCAGAAGGGCCCAATTTGCTTGTGAGTAGCAGCAGGAGTAACTGAAAGTCGGCAGAGAACTGAACAAGCAGCATTGTTCCCTCAGATTCCTTCCCCCATATACAGTGCCATAATACAGGATGTGAATTGCCTCACCCTGGTGAATACCTAAGGCTCTGCCCTTTACTGTGTACCAGGCAGCGAGACAAAAATAAATAACAGTCCTAATGAAAGAACACACAAAGCTCCAGAAAAAATACAACTAAGCAATGAAAATGGCCAACCTCTCAGATGCACAGTTCAAAACACTGGTAATCAGGATGCTCACAGAATTGGTTAAATATGGTCACAAATTAGATGAAAAAATGAAGGCTATGCTAAGTGAAATAAAGGAAAGTGTACAGGAAACCAACCGTGAAGGGAAGGAAACTGGGACTCATCAACAGTTTGGAGCAGAAGGAAGAAATAAACATTCACCCGGAACAGAATGAAGAAACAAGAATTCAAAAGGAGGGGCTTAGGAACCTCCAGAACAACTTTAAACATTCCAACATCGGAATCATAGGGGTGCCAGCAGGAGAAGAGGCAGAGCAAGAAATTGAAAACTTATTTGAAAACATTATGAAGGCAAACTTCCCCAATCTGGCAAAGGAAATAGACTTCCAGGAAGCCCAGAGTCCCAAAGAGGTTGGACCTAAGGAAGCATGCACCAAAGCACATCATAATTACATTAACCAAGATTAAAGAGAAGGAGAGTATTAAAAGCAGCAAGAGAAAAGGAGAGAGTTACCTGTAAGTTCTCATAAGACTGTCAGCTGATTTTTCAAAAGAAACTGTGCAGGAAAGGGACTGGAAAATATTCAAAGTCATGAAACTCAAGGACCTACATCCAAGATTATTCTATCCAGCAAAGCTATCATTGACAATGGAAGGGCAGATAAAGTGCTTCCCAGACAAGGTCCAGTTAAAGGAGCTCATCATCACTAAGCCCTTATTATATGAAATGTTAAAGGCACTTATCAAAGAAAAAGAAAACCAAAAACATGAACAGTAAGATGATAATAAACTCACAACAATTAACATCAGAACCTAAAAAAAAATAACAAAACTAAGCAAACTAGAAGAGAAACAGAATCACAGAAATGGAGATTGCACGGAAGGTTATCAGCTGGGGAGTGGGAAGTTGGAGAGAGGGAGAAAAGGTACAGGGAATAAGCAGCATAAATGGTAGGTAGAAAATAGATAGTAGGAGGTTAAGAATAGTACAGGAAATATAGAAGCCAAAGAACTTATCTGTATGACCTATGGACATGAAGTAAAGTGGGGGTGGGGGGGGAGTGGGTGGGAGGCAGTGTGCAGGATGGAGGGGAATAAAGGGGGGGTAAATGAGACAACTGTAATGCATAATAAAATATCTGAAAAAAATTGCAGAAATCAACACATACTGTGTGATTCCACTTACAGTTCTGAAAGTTCGTTTCATTCACATTTGTTTCCAGAGTTGGGTCCTGGGGACAGAGGGAAGTGAAATTTTTCTATTAAACACAGACATATTAGTCTAGATTTCTGGGTAATACAGCAATTAAAGTCCAAGTCATTATCATTACTAGCAGCGTAATTTTGTAGTTCCTTAAATGTTTCTTCACAGTTAAAACTGTCCCAGATGATAGTGTTACTAGAGCGTTTCCACCCCCAGGGGCTGGACCTGCAGCTGCCTGGCAGGGTCCAGACCCTTTCATACATCAGGCAACCTTGGGGTTGTTGATTCGTGCAGGAAAAATTTCCAGACAGAGTCCAGGCGAAAGTAAGTTTATTAAGGCTTGCGACAGTGATGCAAAGGATGGGCCCTTCAAGACAGGATTGGGGGTATACCTGATATAGCTGCCATTGCCATTGCTCCCCTGGGTGCAGGTTTGCCCAGAGCCTGAGAGCTTAGCATAGAAGCAAAGTACATGCCAGAGGAAAGCGTGTGCTCAAAGAGCCAAGGTGGTGTCCCTAGTCCTGAGGATTTTACCTATTTTCTATAGGCAGGAATTTCAGGGGGGTCCCAGGGGAGCACCTCAACAGAGTAATCATTAAACTGAATATAATTAAGTTTGGGGTCATTTTCTGGTTAGTTTCACCTCTATCTTGGATTAATCTGGCTCTAATTGTTTTTTTTTTTTATTACCTATTTCCCTAAGGCGACTTTAAACCACCTGCTCTTAGATACCTTTGCTTAGGGAGGACTGAATCTTGTGATTTATCAGCTCACTATTACTTGCTCTGTGGTGACTTTTTGTCTCAGTTTTCCTCATTCCACTTGCCAAGGAATCCTAGTTTCTTACTAACCTGCCTCAATAGATTATTTTCTCAGCTGACACCCATAAAGTGCCTGTTTTCATTCAGAAAAGGGTTATTTGAAATCAAACATCTACAAGTGGTATACTGCGTAGTATGTTAATTGTACCCAATCACGTAAAAAAAAAAAATTCCATGTAGCAGTCCTGATAAGCACATTTCACTTTGTGTAAATATCCACTGCTGTTGACAAATCCCAGAAGAAAATGCTATTTTTAGGAATATGTCTGACTGACAAAGCTTTTTTTCCTTTACATTTAGGCAGTTACTCGGTGTCATACACAGACCTCGAATCACACTTTGTATATTTATCGCAGCAGTCACCCAGAATACAACTCACATCACCATGACCCCTGGGGAAAAGACACATGACACTTTTAGAAACAGAAACACGACACAACAGACAGGAAGCTGGAGCTCAGGTGTTCTGCAAGCAGTGTTCTGCCCATATATCTAGTCCACAAGTCCTATTTTTCTAGCTTTTCCGGTTCCCGAGACAAGGGACAGCAATTCTGTTAGGGCCACTTCTTGGTGACACTGAGGTGGCTGAGCTGGTCGGCCAGCAGCCTGTGCCGCGGGAACTTGGCCTCGCCAGCAGCTTTAATGGCCTGGAAGGCAGCCGCTCTGCGGGCCGCAGCGTGCCCGAACTCCTGTGAGGGAGTAAGGAAGGGTGTGCTCAGCCAGTAGTGGTTCTCTGCCTCCACCTCCAGGCGGCGGATTGTGTTCTGCTTCCCGTGGAAGGACACGGAACGCGGCCTCCGGTGCTTCCCGATCCACTGGTGGCCGGGAATGCGGTTGCGGCGCAGCAGCGCGGTCAGGAACATGGCTCCCGCTGCGAAAAGAAACCGGGAACCAACTGACTGTGGGCTCAGCCGAAAGACAGCGGCCTCTCCCAAGAAGCGGGAGCCCACTCACTATCCCGAAGACCCACTAAGGACAGCAAACTCACCAGAAGCGCAACTCCGAACACCAGCTTCCTCACACGCCGGGTGATTCACCTCCGAAACGGCTTTCTCTCTTTGCGGCGTCCGCCTCCTTCGCGCGAGACCTCGGCTCCCGCGAGAGTTGACTCGTCAGCCAACCACTGCACTAAAAACGCTGCAGGAGCTGGAGGTTCAAACTAGTGGCGGTCTCCGTGCGTTGTGGTCGCCATGGACCCGATCCGGAGCTTGTGTACGAAGCTGCGGTCTGTGGCGGTCACCTTGGACCGCGAGACGACGCGGCTCTACCTCGCGCTGGAAGAGGAAGACAGCGGTGAGTGGGACGGGCGGGTGGCGTCGAAACGGGCACACTGTGTGGGAAGGCCGTTTTTCCGCTTGTGGGAGGGGGTCGGCGGTGGAAATGTAGCGCCCAGGGGTCGCCGGGCGCTCCTTAATTCCCTCTTTTGCCCCCAGGGGCGGCGTGAACTCAGCGTCCTCGGGAAAGGAAAACAGCACTATGCTATGTAACCATGAGAAACGGGGACACTGGGAGTAAAATTTAAGTTGAGCTCAGCACGCGCACCTGATATGCTTGCTAGTTGCACAGAATCTGTGCTTATCAATAACATACAATAGGAACAAAATTAGACAGTGTAGCCGTTCAGGACTGTCCTCCACAGGTATAGTGAGTGACTTGTCTCACCCAGATGGCCCGCAGTTGCAGTAAGCGTCTATTTTTCCCAACAAACCGTGAGGCCAACACAAAGACCAGGACTCAGTACGGCTCTTTTTTTATAGGTAAAGCAAAATTCTTCATTACTAACCTTTTATTAGGGATTTTTTTAAAGTTGCAAGAGTAGTTTAGGCTTCATAAATGTCATTGTAATGTGCCTTAAAATATTGCATCCTGTAGACACAGAATCCTTTTACTTCAATTACTTTATAAATGGTTATCCAGCCATTTAAAAATATTTATTCTTGTGACTGTAAAAATAGTACAGGGTGGGGCAAAATTAGGTTTACAGTTGTACGTGAAACATAGATTATTTCTGTATTATTATTATTTATTAATTATTGTTTTTTCATATGAACAACCGTAAACCTACTTTTGCCCCACCCTGTATTGTGTGCATGGCAAAATGTTGACATACAGAAAAGTGAAAGAGATATGTCTATAACTGCACCATCAGAAGACATTAATCAATGTTTTAGTAGCATTTCTACCATTCTTATTTTTAGATTTGCTTTGTTTTTCTTTGATTTTGTTTACATAGTTGAGATAATGCTATAAGATAGAAAATTTTATTAGCATTTTGAATTCTTGATGTGTAGCTGAATTGCTTTCCACAAAGCTTGTGCAAGTTTACCTTCTTACCAACATATTACCTATGAACAAGAATTCTGCATTTTCTTTTGGCTTTACAAGAAAAAGTTGGATTAATTTTTCAAATTCAGGCCCATATGTATTACAGAAAATATGAAACTGAAAATTAGAGAAAATGATCACAAAAATATTTTACCTTTTATGATCTCAGTGATGAGACTTTAAATTGGTTGACTTTTTAAACATCTTTTTTTTTAATTTTTATATTTTATTGAGTATGCCATTACAGTTGTCCCATTCCCCCCTTCATTCCCCTCTACCCTGCACCACCCTATATTCCCCCCTAAACATCTTTATTGAGATGTAAAACATTCACACACCATAACTGGCCATTTAAAGGATGCAATATGGTGGCTTTTAGTGTATTCAGAGTTGTACAGCCACCATCACAATAAATTTAGATTTTCATCACCCCCAAAAGAAACCCCTGTGACTGTTAGCATTTCATAGTCCCACCTCTACCTACCATACAAAACTTATGCAAACACTAATCTACTTTCTTTCTTTCTAGATATGCCTATTCTGGGCATTTCATATAAATGGAATCATATACTATGTGGTCTTTTGTGGCTGACTTATTTAGCATAGTGTTGCAAGGGTCATCCATATCAGTGTGTATTAGTAATTCATTTTATATTCATATGAAAGTTTTTGTGTGAATATGTTTTCAATTCTCTGGGTATACCCTTGGAAGTGACTTGCCAGATAAGCCTATGTCTAACTTTTTAAGGAACTGACAAATTTATTTTTTTATGAGCTGCTTATTTTACTCTGCCATGTAAGGACTGGTATCTTTTTCAAAATAATACTGCTAGCAACAAGGTTATTGAAGAGTACTGATGGCTTAAGTTTGCCAAATGCTTACCTCTGAGACAGTATAAATACGGATAATTAAAGTTGTCTGCTCAAGTGTAAAATCTATGCAAAATCCTCATAATGGAAGCAAAATGTTCAAAGGCCAAGAAAAAAAATTCTGTTACAAGAAAGTGCATCTGCAGGGTCTTTTGAAAGATCTCCCAGATGGTTCTGCAGAAAACTTAGTAGTTTGGCTCAGAAAGTAGAGTTCCTCATGAGGAATTAAAGTTCTACCTAGAAGAATACAAAAGCAAAATTTCAGGCAGCTTTCTGAAAATAAACATTAGTTCGTAGACCACAATAAGACAAACAGGAACCTATAATAAGGAAGGTGTTCATACTTGCTGTGATTTACATAGGAACTTGACAGAGCTTTTCTCTTAGACCCTAGGCCCTCAGGCCATTTCATAACCTATCTGTGGTAGTTACAGCGCTTGGCCCAGTACTGACAGTGGGCATGCAGCCAGTCAGATAAGAGAAAATCAAAAGCATTCTCATGTGTGTTTCAGTGCTTTTCAAGTCATATCTCAATACTTTCAAATAAATCATTAAAATACACCATCTCTTTGTTATTCGCAGTATTTAACATAGTTAATGGATAATCATGGTCACAGAGCTCTGTATCAGTCCTCATCCAGGACATTCAGACATGTGGTCAGATTTTCAGCATTTGTTTGGCTGCAGCTAAATGGCGAAGAAAGTTTTCCGTCACTGGTAGAAATTGTCTTTGCTTTGGTGCCTCCAAGTTGAGAACTAGCTTTTCTCTATCACCCAAAACTTCTGAAAATGGTGCCAGGTTGGCAAAGGTTTCTTCTGTTTTCAGGGAAATACCCTGTATAACTTGGCTTGGATTTCTCTGGATCTTCTGCATACTTAACAATTAGCTGGCCAATTTCTTTGTGCAGTTTGCCCATGGTCATGGCCTCTTGCAAGCCATGGTAATCTCACTGTCTGCCATACTCATAAACATGCCTTAGAGGTCTGATCCACCTCCAAGTCTACAAATCTGGGGACATAGCCTGTGCACATCTAAAGGGCTTCCAGCTCATCAGCATTGAGGTGCAAGTACGAGTGCAGTTATGGTCCAGTTCTGTCAAAGCCACACCAGGGCAGGCAGAGTCCTGGTAAACTCCTGGACAGCTTCTGTTTTGGGGTGACAACTGAAATACAATGTCTTTGATAGCGCCTCCAAGGTATGCTTTTCAAGCACCAAAGTCCTTGCTGAGGAAAGAGCCGTTTTCTTCACTCTGGCATATCCCCTTTGTAAGAACTGCAATGTTGCTCTCCATTTTAATTGGGCTTCCATGTTGCAGGTATATTCTACACAATATCCTAGTGAAGGTGGCATATTTCTCTGGGTTAAAATCTTTGGCGGTCAGAACAATAGGAAAATTAGTCACCTTTTTCAAAACGGAAGATTCTGGAACTTCCAACTGTTGTGATATAAAACTATGTTCTGTACTGACCAAAGACAAAGGGATGGAGGAGGTTGTTTTCATCTATAAGGCAGCATTTTCTCAGCAGCAGATTCCTTAAAGTAGCTGTTGTGGAAGGGTAACACCACACCCACAGAACTTCTCCATTTACTTCCTTTTCAGTGAGCCTGACTGGAAGCATCAGCTGCGTGTCTGCCACCTCAGCCGCAGCCTTCTGCTGCCGCAGCTGCCAGAACTAACCAATTTTTTCCCAAAGTGGATGCACTGTTGTATACTTCCAACAGCAATGAATGGCAGGCACGGGGGGGGGAGGGTATTTTATTTTTTTCACATCTTCATCAACATTTGATATTATGTCTTTTTGATTACAGACATTCCAGTATTCATAAGGTAGAAAATCATTGTGATATGGATTGTATTTCCCTAATGAAAATGCAAAAAAAAAGTCATTGGTTGACTTTTAACAGGTGGAAGGAGATCTTCAAAGAAAGCACGTTTTAGGAAAGAGAAATATAATCCTTAAAAAAAACTGCCCTCACCCTTACTGGTGTAGCTCAGTGGACTGAGGGTGGGCCTGAGAACCAAAGGGTCACTGGTTAGTTCCCAGTTAGGGCACATGCCTGGGTTGCAGGCCAGGTCACCAGTAAGGGGTGCATGAGAGGCAACCACACATTGATGTTTCTCTCCGTCTTTCTCCTTTCCTTCCTCTCTCTCTAAATAAATAAATGAATGGATGGATGAATGAATGAATAAATAAATAGAATTTTGTAGGCCTGTTCTTATGTATATATGACCATCTGATTAATAAAAAGGTGACAGTACAGTGTGTAAAAGATGTCTTTTCGATAAATAGCGCTAAGTCAATTGTACACACATGGAAAAAAAGAATGGATCTTGAGCAATTCCAGCTGGATTTTTTCTCTAAATGTGAAAGAGCAATAAGCTTTTAGAAGAATGCGTTAAGTGTTGTCATTGGCAAAGATTTTTAGAATAGGAATCAAAAAGTGCTCCCCATCAGTGAAAAAGTCGCTCAGTTGGACCATATTGCCATCTCCTCTTCTCCCTCCCTTCCTGATCTGATTGCTGATTATGTGTTTGCTTTCAAAGGTTATCAAACTATGTACTTGAGATTTCTATGCTACTCTGTGTGTATGTTACAGTTTAATAAAAATTTTAAAGAGAAGCCTTAATATTAAGGCCTTTGTGATTAACAGGATATTAATTATAAATAAATATCTACAAGGATTTTATAATTCTAAGAAAATATACTAAATTATATTTCCTATTTTTTCCTCCTTTTCCTTATTGAACTTTTTCCTTTCAATATTCATATTGAAGACTTTGAAGATTATGCAATGAGAATTTTAAATGATCTTCATTCAGAAGTTCGGACTCTAAAGGTATCACTGCTACATTAATTTATCATTTTTATGTGGTAATTTTTTTAATCTAAATAAACTTAGCCAAAAGTTGGAGAAATTTTAATATGCTTTCTTTCTTCCTAAAAGGATAATGTTAATATTCTTCTTGATAAAGCAAGTTTGGAAAGTCAAGAAAGCACTGGCTTCATTAAGGCAACAAAAGTACTGATGAAAAAAAATTCAGCAGATATCATGAAAATAAAAGAGTTTTTCCAGAAGTATGGATATAATCAATGTGCCAAGAAAAATTCAGGTGTGAATAACTTACATTTTAGAGCATTTGTTTTAGTATCAAAGAGAAAGAGCACCGTGATTCAGTAAGAGCTGTTTTTCCCCTGGCTGTGGTTTGTAGTTCTTGCTCTGCCATTATGTGACCATCATTTGATCATTTATGCAGCAACCACTGTGCTGGATGCAGTGCTGATCAGTGGTGCAGTATACAGTTCATGCTGTCCTTTCCAAAATGCTGAATGAGAACTAACAATGCTAGATGCAAGAACAGTACAAAGTATATGTATTTATGTTATTTCAGTATAGTTGGTTTCTAGTTAGCTCTGCTAGTGAGAGACTGACCTTCAGGCATGTTTTATTGTTCTTACTCTCAAGTTCCTCTTGTGTAGAATGAGATTGTTTTTGCCTATATAAATTGAGGAGTTTTCCGTTTTAAAATTCTAGTGGAGTATGGCATAGTGGTTTTAAATTCAGAGCCAAACTGCCTGAGTTCAAATCTCTGATTCCACTTTACTAGATGCATTGTCTTTGACTATCTGCTTAGCCTTGTACCTCAGTTTTTCATTTGTAAAGTGGAGATGAAATAATCTCTATCTCTCAGGTTGTATTAGGATTAAATAAAATTTACTGAGAACAGTACCTGGCATGTTAATCAGCAGATGTTAATTATTGTTATTGTTGTTCCTTTACCTTTGGTTGACCAATTTCAGTGAGCTTCAGTGTCATTTCCATTATGAGAGTAATCTTTTACATGAGTAACATAATTAATTTCAACAGATATGTACTGAGAATGGGTATGGAAATTATGTAAACAGTCCACATAGTGTAATGTAAGCAATTCGGCTGACTTTGGTGTGCATGAGCCATGGATTCAAACACTGGCTCCACTGTCTGTATACTCTATACTTGTGTGACATGGACAGTTTCTCTAAATTGCTTTCCCCCGCTTATGAAATGGGGGTGATTGTGGTGATGATTTTATTTCATTAATCTCATCAATGACAGCCTTGTGATAAGTACAAGAGGTTTTTGGTAGTTGTAACATTTCAGAATTAACAAAAAGCACAGTGTCAGAACAGAACTCAGTGAATCAGCAGCCAGCTCTCACAAGGGCCAAAAACGATGAAATCAAAGTTTATTATAACTTTTTTAATGCATCTTGGTTTATGCACAAAAATAGTACCTTATACTGCTTAACTTCCAGTTGCTGATCAAAACAAAGTGTGCATCTAGTCTGTTTGATATCTTAGCTAGTCAAATAAATGTACAGCCTAAATTTACCCCTTTTCTATTCTTTTGGATCCAAAAGATTCTGACAGGGATCTCCACCAGTATTTGAGAGACCCTATTTCAACTATAGATCTTTCTTTAAAAGATGGAGAAAACAGAAACAAAAAAGGACTTGGCATTGAAGGTGCTAATCTAATTCCAGCTTCAGTTCCATACCAAATTCATTCATCAATAACGTACCCGGGAAATTACAAAGGACTGTGGGGAAAAGTAGAGTTGTTATTCAATTATTTAGTCAGAAGTGCTCAGTGTAGTGGTTAAGCATTAGGGTTTAGAGCCAAATATAACCCTATTAAAGAGAGGAAATACATCTTTCTAATGCTGTTCTGTTATTTCTCACTAGGCTTTTGATGCATGTGTTCTAGACCGACAGGATTAAAATTTATCTATGTATATAACAGTATTTTCTTTACAGGCATCTATGAGTTAAATATCTAAAGTAATATTTTTTATGTTAAATCTAGATTGTGTTGAGAACAACGGCTAAATTACATTAACTGGGGAATGAACGAAATCAGACATATTTGTGGGTATTGATTTTTAACACTTTACTTCCTTTCTCCAATGTCATAAAAATGGGATATGGGTGGACCAGAGGTTCATGTCAGAAATTTACTAAAGGTAGAAGTAAAATAAAGCTTTAGAGACTAAGGACAGAATCGGGACTTTTGCCTGTTTTGCATATTTCAAATGAAACTGTTCTATGTGCTTTTAGTACTGGAGATTTCCTGATTTAATGTTTGAACACAATATGACCTTCTTTTCTCCCAGAGGATGAGCAAGAAGTTGTTGACTCTAAACTAGAGTCCATTGAGGATGAAAATCTTCAAAAGTCTGATGTGAAGGATGATGTATCTAACAACAGGGACAATAGTAATGTTGTTCCAAGCAGCTCTGTTTCTGAGAAGATTCCATGTAGTCCACAACTTTCAGATTTTGGACTTGAGCGGTACCTGATATCTCAAGTTCCACTGAATCCTCCACCAGCGGTAAACAACCAAAAGGAAGAGCCAAAAATGTTAACTCCATCTTCCAAACAATCACTAGTTAAAGTACTAAAAACTCCAAAATGTGCACTAAATATGGACGATTTTGAGTGTGTGACTCCTAAATTAGAGCATTTTGGTATCTCTGAATATACTATGTGTTTGAATGAAGATTACACAATGGAACTTAAAAATGTGAAGAATAAAAGGTAAGCAGCTTTCTTAAAAGGCACATTTTATATCACTTTGTGTCTTTTCTATTTATTGATTTTTTCAAAAAAAAAAAAAAGGATGTTTCTGACTGAGTTTTCAGATACTTCTTATTTCAAACTTTCCTGAATTACTAATTGTATCAGTAAAGTGTGAGCTATTGTGGGGTTTTTTTTTGGGGGGGGTGTTTTGTTTTATTTTAAGGTAAGACGCTACAGGAGTGACACAGTCCTGAAAAAAAAAAAATTGTATTTGGTGAGATAGAGAAGTAAGGGTAAAATTAGTAAGAATTTATGTTATTTCGGTATGGAGGAGACTTGGGAAGAAAAGGGGATCAGGGGTCAATCCCAGATTTCTGATTTGTTACCTAGGATGGCACTAGAAAAAAACTAAGGAATACCTGCACCTTGGAGGGACAAGAGATATGTTACGTGTTGATTTTGTGGTACCTTTAGTGGTGCTCTTAAATTTGAGTGTTTTAATATGAACTTGAAATTCAGTGGTTAATTTCATGCTAAAGAGATTGGGAGTGATTAGTAAGATTTTTAGAAAGGTAGAATTGATCAGTCTAAGAACTGGTTCTTATTTAAACATAAGTGCAAATGAACTAAGGGCTATGTTTTTTATTTTTTAGGCTATTAGAGATAGTACAGAGTACTGAGAAATTGGGGAAATTCAAATAAGTGAAAAATAACCACTTAATATGCTTTCCTATATTTTATTAATAACTAGTTGGCAAATATAGTGGGAAAAACCCATTCAGATTTGCAACAAAGAAAGTAGAATACCTATGCCAGTTGTAGGTAAAAGGCCTATGTGATTCAAATCATAAAGCATGTCTGAGTTATATACAGAGAAAATTAGGATGGAGAGAGATTATATCCCTGAATCAAGTGACTAGTATGTTTAATCATATCAAATTAATTTATAGGTGTCATGCAATCACAACAAAGTCTCTGTAAGGTGGAGAAAGAGGAATATTTGACAAAATGATCCTAAAATTTGTTTGGAAGAATAAAAAAGGATAGCTAAAAAAATAATGAAAAATAAGAGTAATAAGGGGACTTGATCTATTAGATCAGGAGTGTCAAACTCATTTTCAGTGGGGGCCACATCAGCCTCACAGTTGCCTTCAAAGGGTCAAATGTAATTTTATGACTGTATAAACGTAACTACTCCTTAACAGTTAAGTGAGATCTCGGTGCTGCCACCAGGTAGAAACAAGATGGAGGGCCAGATTTGGCCCACAATCCTTGTGTTTGCCACCTGTGTACTAGATATTAAAATATATAAAGCCATAGTAAGTAAAACAGTATAAAACTTCAGAGAATGGACCTATAACTGGAACAAAATAGCCCAGAAACAGTAGTTTATAATGAGTTAAACATATCGCTTTCCTTGTTGTAAGTCAGAGCTTCTTAATCTACTTCTAAAAGTCAAAACTGTCAATACAAAATGGTTCTTAACCTTTTTTGAGCCATGTTTATATATTATAAAAAAAATGTTCCATGGGCCTTCTGTTCCATAAAATAGGACTAAACGTTTGTCCAGACTTGATGATTTATAATAAGATTAAATTTTCCAAGGTTTAATAATATTAACTTTTTTATAACCTTATAATTTCCCTATTAATCACGCCAGTGAGGAAGTCATAAAAACAGAACCAATGTCCAGTGATAGTGCCACTTCTGATGTAATGAACAACCAATTGGAAAAAAATGGTAAGTGTAAAAATCAAGTTCCTTCTCAGCTGTGCTCTTTGCAGATGACCTTTGTACAAAAATGGTTCTGTCACCATAGGTATTCTGATAGCCTCAGTTGGTGACCTCAAGTTATATTAAGAACCATTCCATTCATGTTCAGCATGATATCATACAACAGAAAGATATATAATTTTCTGACTTGCTTTTCATAATCTTCCTTGTTACATTCAGCATTTACCAGGTTTTTTTTTTACATTTTAACTTAAAGTATATCAATATATTTTTTCACCATTTTAAAACATATTTTATTGATCATGCTGTTACAGTTGTTCCATTCCCCCCGCCCTTTATTCCCCTCTGGACTGCACCTCCCCTCCCACCCATAATCCCTGCCTGGCCCCTTAGTTCATGTCCGTAGGTCATACATAAGTTCTTTGGCTTCTACATTTCCTATACTATTCTTAACCTCCCCTGTCTTTTTTTACCTAACAATTATGCTTCTTATTCCCTGTACCTTTTTCCCCATAGATAGCCCTCCCCACTGATAACCCTCCATGTGATCTTCATTTCTGTGATTCTGTTCCTGTTCTTGTTGTTTGCTTAGTTTTGTTTTTTGTTTTTTAGGTTCAGTTGTTGATAAGTGTTATCATTTTACTGTTCATAGTTTTTGATCTTCTGTTTCTTAAATAAGTCCCTTTAACATTTCATATAATAAGGGCTGAGTAATGATGAACTCCTTTAACTTTACTTTATCTGGGAAGCACTTTATCTGCCCTTTCATTCTAAATAATAGCTTTGCTGGATAGAGTATTCTTGGATGTAGGTCCTTGACTTTCATGACTTGGAATACTTCTTTCCAGCCCCTTCTTGCCTGCAAGGTTTCTTTGGAGAAAGCAGCTGATAGTTTAAGGGGCAATCCTTTGTAGGTAACTCTCTCCTTTTCTCTTACTGCTTTTAATATTCTCCTCTTTAATCTTGGTTAATGTAATTAAGATGTGCCTTGGTGTATGCTTCCTTGGATCCAACTTCTTTGGGACTCCCTGAGCTTCCTGGACATCCTGGAAGTCTTTTTCCTTTGCCAGATTAAGGAAGTTCTCCTTCATTATTATTTTAAATAAGTTTCCCATTCCTTGGTGTACCTCTTCTGCTGGCACCCCTATGATTTGGATGTTGGAACTTTTAAAGTTGTCCTGGGGGTTCCAAAGCCTCTCCTCCCTTTTCTGAATTCTTGTTTCTTCATTCTGTTCTGGTTGACTGTTTATTTCTTCCTTCTGGTCCAAACCTTTGATTTGAGTCCTGGTTTCCTTCTAGTCACTGTTGGTTCCCTGTACATTTTCCTTTATTTCACCTTTCATAGCCTTCACTATTGCTTTGAGATGATGCTGAAACATTTCTGTGAGCATCCTGCTTTCTAGTGTTTTGAACTCTACATCTGATAGGTTGGCTATCTCTTCATCACTTAGTTCTATTTTTGGAGCTTTGATCTGCTCTTTTATTTGGGCCTCTTTCCCCCCACCCCCTTTTTTGGTCTCCCCACCTGCTACATAGTAAGGGGTGGAGCCTTAGGTATTCACCAAGGTGGGGTGACCCATGTCCATGCTTTGTGTGGGAGGAGTCTGAGAGGGAACAATGCTTTATTATTTTTTTTAAGATTTTATTTATTTATCTTTAGAGGGGAAGGGGGGAAGGAGAGAGGGAGAGAAACATCAATGTATGGTTGCCTTTCCTGTGTCCCCTGCTGGGAACTGGCCTGCAGGGAACTGGCCTGCAATCCAGGCATGTGCCCTGATTGGGACTCCAACCTCGATCTTTTGGTTCCCAGGCCCGAGCTCAATCCACTGAGCTACACCAGCCAGGGCCAGAACAATGCTTTATGATTATGATATTTCTCTCCCTCTCTTTTTCCCTCACTTCCCCTCTGTAAAAGTAAATAAAACCTTTAAAAAACAAAAAGTAAAATAAAACACATAAATTATATTAGCAGAAATTATAGCTTTGAAGTTGAAATCTGTGTTTCAAATATTTATTTTCATGCAATTGTGTATCTTTTAGATGCAAAATGTACAAAGTCTCCCTTGGCTCCTACGTTCTCTACTCCAGGTTTGAAAATTCCTTCTACAGAGAGCAATACAGCCTTGGTAAATTTTCATAAAATTGAAAGCCCTAATATTGTTCCTAATGATACAGATACCCTACTGTTTCTGAACTCAGTCTGTTTAAAAACTTAGAATAATGCATACTTTAACTGTATATTTACTGTATACTTATGGAGGGTAATTTAGCAGCATTTATCAAGAACTTTAAATTTTTTCATACCTTTTAACTGTAAAGCTTACTGGGACATATTTACTATACCAAGTAAGTTATTTTTAAGAGCAAAACAAAGTCTAAATGTCAAATGTTAGAGAGGAAGTGAGATACATTAAACTATGTCAGTAAAAATCCAGTGTTACCTATCATATTTTTGAAAAACAGGTACTTTTTAAGAAATATTTAATTATATGGAAAATGACATGTATGTGTATATACATATACACACCCATATACAATAGTCCTCTCTTACCCACGTTTTTTTTGTTTGTTTCCTGTGGTTTCACTTACCTGTGAACCCACAGGTAAACCACCGTCTGAAAATATTAAATGGAATATTCCAGAAATAAACAGGTCATAAGTTTTCAATTGTGCTCCTTTGAGTAGAGTGATACAATCTCTCACCCTCCCACTCCATCCCATCTGGGATATGAATCATTCCTTTTTCTAGCATGTCCACACTAGATACTATCCTCCTGTTTTAGTCACCTAGTAGCTGTCTCAGTTACCAGATCAACAGTCAAGGTATCACAGTGCTTGTGTTCCAGTCACATAACCTTTATTACAGTATATTAAAATTGCTCTATTTTATTATTAGTTATTATTGATCTCTTACTGTGCCTAATTTATAAATTAAACTTTATTATAGGTTTATATGTATAGGAAAAAACATAGTACATTTAGGATTCAGTTCTACCTGGGGTTTCATGCATTTCCTGAGGATCTTGGAACATATTCTCTGTGGATAAGGGGGGACTATTATATTTTAAGAAAAAAGAATAAATAGTAACAAACCAATATGCAGGTATTTATGGGTCAATATTTTCCCCCAAATTTTCCCTAGTGAACAAAGTATAATAAAAAACCTCATCCTTTTTTAAAAAATTAACAGTTGTTTTTTTAAAGCTTTTTTATTTATTTTTAGACAGAGGGGAAGGGAAGGAGAAAGAGAGGGAGAGAAACATCAATGTGTGGTTGCCTCTTGTGTGCCCCCTACTGGGGATCTGGCCCGCAACCCAGGCATGTACCCTGACTGGGAATCAAACCAGCAACCCTTCTTTGGTTTGCAGGTCACACTCAATCCACTGAGCTACATCAGCCAGGGCACCTCATCCCTTTTTAATTTTGATCTGAACAATTAAGACAGCCTATGTGGTAGGTAAACCAAGCCATCTAACAGAACTTTCTCCAGTGATGGAGATGTGCTGTATTCCATGTGCCCAGTATGATAGCTACTAGTCACAGCCAGCTATTGAGCACATAAAGTGTGGCAAGTGCAACTATGGAACTAATTATTTTTTTTTACTTTATTAATTAAGTTTGACCAACCCCAGGTGGCTGAGGCTCCCATGTTGGACACTAGGTGTAGAGAAGTAAAATCCTGGGCTTCCCTAAGATAGGCTTTCTTCCTCTTGGGGGTGAGGGCCTGTGGTAACTTGCTCATTTGTGCTGTGACTGTCTTCCAGACCAGTTAGTGTTGTCTGACATTAGGGGGGTAAAAATCATCTAAATGTGGGGTTCAGTTCATTTTTCATATTAAGCTCTAGCTCAGCCTTTATTGGTAATGGAGATAGTACTTTGTTTTCCATATGCCATTTCTTTGTTCTCTTGATTTTATTTAGTACTCAATCAGGGAAGAGGGAGTCATGTATGGCCTATTTAGCAACCCCAAGAGAACTAGTAATTTTCATTTACTTTATAGCACCATAATTTAATTATTTATTTTTTATTCATTAGGTATCCACAAGTTATCAAATATCAGGAACAAACAGTTCATCAGATGATTTGGAAATGAAAGACTGTACATCATTAATTTTAAATTCGGACAAGTGCTTTGAGAATTGTGTCGCTTCTTCTTCCCCTGTGATTTTGTCTTGTGAGAATCTGCTCAGAACACCCACACCTCCAAAAGTAACTACAATTCCAGAAGATGTTCTCCAGGTTATTTTCCAGGCTTTTTTTATGATACATTTACTTCAAAGTTAGATATTTATATAATCTCTAGTGTAAACTATGATTTATCACTGGGCTATGTACTGGTTTGGGTATTGAAAAAATCTAAATTCTGGGATCCTAGGCCTTTCTTACACTACCTGGCTAAGATTCCTCTGAACTGAACAAAAGCTAGTGCTGTCCTCATACTTGTATGCTATCAGGGCATTTTCTCTTTAACTTCATATTCAGAAATGTATTCTTTAAAAGATTTTATTTATCTTTAGAGGGGAAGGGAAGGAGAGAGCGAGAGAAATATTAATGTGTGGTTGCCTTTTGTGTGTCCCCTGCTGGGAACTGGCCTGCAACTCAGGCATGTGCTCTGACTGGGAATGGAACTGTGATCCTTCGGTTTGCAGGCCCGCGCTCAATCCACTGAGCTACGCCAGCCAGGGCAAGAAATGTATTCTTATATATTTTCTAATAGTTGCTCAGCTGTGGTGGTCTATTGACCATTGTTTCCATGGGAGGTGTTGCTGGCCAAGTCAGGAATGTCATTTATCTTACAGTTCTCCGGGGGGGTATTATGAGTAACTTACATTAGTGTTTCTTGAACTTCAGATGTCTTAGACCTCAGTTTGAAAAACACTGATTTAAATGTTAGAATCTCCAACTCTTTAGTATAAGCTCATTTACTGCTAGTCAACTGCTAACTTATAACAACTGACAAATTACTAAATAACCACCATTCTGATTCTTTGAGCTTTCTCCTCCTCCCCCCATAGGAGCTGCAGTGTCAGACAATTATAATAATCATTCTAGCAACCTTCCTAGCTTATGGGAAGTATGAGAGATAAAACTACTTGGCAAAATATCCAAATGCAGTTAGAACAGACTCATCCTAAGATAATAGTAAAGGGTTTATTACCCTCCTTTTTCTATCTTTTCTTTTTTTTCTGGGCATTATAATAAATTGAGTAAGGAGCAGCTTCTGTCTATAAGGCATTATATACAGTTCCATTTCCCTTTTTATTTCTATGTTAAAAGAGGGAAACCTTGTCAATCATAGCTGATATTTCACACTTTTTATAATCTATGTAACTAGCAATCTTTCTTTTGAGCATTTATTTTGCCTCATTCCTGTTTATGTTTTCCCTAATATCTTTGTAAAGGCTTAATTTGTTCACATGGACACACTGCTGCTTATTTCCATTATCCCCGGTGTACATTTTAGAAGGCTTTATCAAGCCTCCACAGGCAAGTTAAATCTCCAATATTGCCATCATTTCTGTGGTGTTGAGCTGTGCTGATAATAGATTCTTACTGTTTCAAACAACCCATACCTTCAAGTTTTCCTTGGGTTTCTTGAATGTTTTATAACACCTTCCAAATTTATGTTGTTTATATGACTTAATAAAAACTATTTTGCTTGGTTTTTTTAGATTTTATCAAAATACAACCCAAATCTAGCTACTACTCCAGTAGCAGTTAAGGCCATGCCTCCCAGCAAACCATTCCTCAGTAGATGCAAAGGACAAAACAGCTGAGATGTTGGCAACAAAAAATGAAAGTGAGTATGTTTACCATTCTAAAGAAAATGTATTTTGCTGTGTATAATGCACACTCTTTGCCCCAATTTTTCAGGGAAAAACAAGGATGTGCATTATACATGGTTATAATGGTTACATATCATGAGTATAATAACCTCTTGTATAATGTACACGAAAACGTGGGTGTGCATTATATACAGCAAAATATGGTACTTGTCATTTGAGAATATCTAAAAATTAGCATTTGAATGGTTGTAAAAATAATTTTTGATATTTGGCAGTTTGGGTTAGTCTAGCCTATGTCTCTCTATGTGTAAAATTTGTAATCTCTAAATCTTACTCCCACAGTAGCAAGTTTGATTGATATCATCATTGGGAATCTATCCAATTTTTTTACAGAAAGTGTAAAACTATATAACCAGTGTTACGGCATTTGTTGATGGTTATTAATTATACCTGATTTTTTTATTTGTGTCCTTTTGCAGAAATTCTAATTGATCCATCTATCATAGAAACTGAATAGAATGAGTTGAAAGCAAAGCTGGACTTACTTTTTCACATTCCCATGTCTCATCTAAAAACCAACCTGTATCAAAGATGGGCCTGGACACTGATGTCATAATGCATTTTGTATTAAGTTTTGATTTAGTTTAACCTCAATATTGTTGAGCTACAGCTCACTAATCCAGTTTTTAAATAATATTATTATTTCCACAAATTTCGGATTTACCATACCTAATCTAAGAATGGATTAAGTAATACTTCTAGGAAGTGGGCTCAATTTTTCAAATTTAAGTGTCATTGTTTACAGCTCAAATAAGGTCACCTCCACTCTTCTCCGAGCTAGATAAGTTACCGTTGTCTGCTAGACACCGCTTCTCCCTTAACCCTAATTCTGCCCTTCCCTTGTCCCCTCCATGATTGTCCCCAAGCCTCTTACACCTTTTATTTCAACATTTCTCTTTTAAAACAGAGTTGTTTACAATCGACAGCTTCACTTAGGAAAAGAAGAATTTACAGGCCAGGATAACTGCACTGTAGTAGGTCTCAGATATTGGAATCGGGGACTCACCTGCTGTCAGGATGTATTTCCTTTTTACTCCCAAATGTACTTGGTGTCCATTTCATCAGGTCAGCTCAGCTCTTCCCACACATGGTACTGGCCTCTCCAAGTTCCCCTCCAGTGGCTACCCAGGCCCTGAGGCCACACTCTCTCTGAAGATTCTGATGCCTCTTCCTGGGCCAAGTGCCCTTCTCCAGACTGTCAGCTGTGGCCACAAGAACCAAAAGACTGCATCTAGAACCATCTGATAGCCTCACACCTTCCAGTATAAGTACAACTGAATAGTAATTTTACCTAAGTTCATGAAAGTACTTCAGCAAATGTCTCAGATTATAGCCAGTGGGAAAATAAGAACCTAGCATATTGTGAAGACCATTTTAGAATTTGAGAAGAAACAGCTGACAAGTATCATAACAAGATGCTTCATAGGTTTATCACAAGAGTACCCTCTTCTGTAACTATGCCTTGAAAGTCAAAGGTAAAAACTGATCTCTTCATTTTGTCAGAAAATTGTCATTAAAACAAAATTTGATTTATTCTGTGTTCTAGGAATTACTGTGTAGTTGTAATTTTTGTTAAATATGTAAATTTCTACCAACCTTTTCACCATTACTACAGCTTGCATCCATAGAAATGCATGGGATGGGTGGACTGTGGAGGGAGGGTCCAGCATCCTAGGACTGAACCTGGTAGACCATCAAGCAGAGTTTGAGGTCAGTAAGTAGAAGAAAGGATTTCAAGGTCATTATTGCTGAGAATCCAAGTAAAAAGGAGACAGGATTGACCATTGGACTTGGTGGCAAAATGGATATTGATGACAATGATTAATTTTGATTGGGTGCTGGAGGACTAAAGAGGGAATAGGGTGAGGAAACATGGTGGACTGAGATCCCTTTTGATGAGAAGTGGTACAGCAGTTAGAGGGGCATAAGGAGAAAATGTCTAAGATGGAAATGATTCATTATTAAGCATTTCTGATGCCTGCCTGGTGTCTCCACTTGTTCTGTGATAGCCCCTCAAATTTAATTTGTCCAAAGTTTCTCTTCCCCTGATCCTCCTGTGATCAGTTTCTGTTACTTAGAATTAATGATGCTTCCAGTTTATCAAGCTTCAAATTTGAGCATCTTTCAAGCTTCTCTCTCTGCTGAAAATTCTCTTTCCAATCCTGTGAAAATTACACTCAAGTTTGACCCTACATTAACTTCTCCCTCCCCTGTAAGTATGCTGTCTGCCCAGAATGTGCATGGGCAGGTGGAATCTGTGACTTTGTCTTCATAGCTGCCTGGTCATGACTAATCCTTTCTAACAGAATAAACATTCCTCCTTCAAGCTTGTTCCATTGCAAACTCCAAGAAATTACACCTGTTGGCAAAACTATCTGTATCTAAGCAATAAAAGACAAGAACATGGACCTCACTTGGCTGCTCAAACTGGGAACTATGACCACATTTCTTTAAAAGTGGGTTCAATTCCGTCAAAGCACATGTAAGCAGCAACCAATGAATGCATAAGGGGAACAACCAATTGATGTTTTTCTCTAAAAATCAATTTTTAAAAAAAGATGTTCTGTTTTGTGTAAAAACTGAAACAGATGCACAACTCCAGCAATTGGCAGCAATTCAGAATGCAAAGGATAACTTCCCAACAGAAGCAGTATCACTGCAGTGGGACATGTGGGATCCATATTGCAATGAATTGAGAATCAAAGAAACTATGAAACAACACTTTGCAAATATAGGTTCAACTAATTTATTGTTGGCCTGTTACTTAAAGTAGGTCTTAATTTCACCTGCATATGGAAACTAGTCATTGTAGCTCAGTGTAGACAAATGAGATAATGCAGTATGAGTTCCTTAGCACAGAATCTGACAGCAAAGCACTTAAACTATAACGTATTTTCCTGTGTATAATGTGCATTTTTTGCCCAAATTCTCTGAAAAACCTTGTATCTACTGTTGTGTTTTCTAATTGTTACATAATATTTCTTGTACCATACATTCAAAAATTTAGGAGTGAGGAGTCCCACACCAGGGTTCCACTGCTATCAAGTCCCCACAACTTCTAACTGCAAAAACCAGCAGGGATTGTGTCAGTGAAGAAGCTGCTAGAGTCCCAAGCAGTTCCTCTTTAAAAATGCACACACACCCCTACACAAACACACTCCATCACAGCTCTAGCACCAGGCACCTCAAAGGCAACCAGCAGCATATTGGGAGAAGGTGAAGTGTGTGAGCAAAGGTCACTGTCCCTTTTCTGAGCCCTCCCCTAACAGCCACAGAGCCTGCAGGCCAGGGCTATATTTGAGACTCCATCAACCTGGCTAACACTTTGACCTGCCTTGGAGGAGATCCCCAGAGACTCCCCCACCCAATTTGCAGGCATACCCAAGCTGCTTTTCCATATGAATTGCTGGTCTTGTTTCTTGCTTCACAACTTCCTAAATCCTAGTAAAAAAGCAACAGCTGGCCTCAGTGAGCTCCAGGCCCCCCACTAGCAGCAGCCAGATTAGTTTCAGTTTGGCTTTGCCTGGGCTGGGAATCTCCCAGCCCAGATACTAGTAGCAGCCATCTTAGATTAAAAGTTCAGGCAGGGTGCTCTGGGCAAAACACAAGTGGGGGCTGAACTTGACCTGCACCACCTGAAAAACCCAAAGGCTGGCTTACCAAGTGGACAGCTACAGACCACATCAAAGCACCAACACCACCACCCTGGCCCAGCACAACTGATCCTCCATGGATGGCCAAGGTTGGTAGTAACCAGTCAAAGCCAATCTGCAGTTGATTGACCTCAGTAAATCCCTCCCAGTGATCTGCCAATAGCAATCAAGGCTCAACTACAAGAAGGGGGTATACACAGCCCACACAAAAGGTGTACCTCAAATACCCAGGTTGGGTGATAGAAGAGATTGTGCCACTGGACCCTAAAGGACATCTACCACATTAGGCCACACTACCAAGACACAGAGTCAAAGCAGCCCCACCTACTAATATATAGAAGCAAACACAGGAAGGCTGCCAAAATGAGACAGAAATGGCCCAAATGAAAGAACGGATCGTAACTCCAGAAAAAGGGCTAAACAAAATGAAGGAAAGCAATCTATCAGATGCACAGTTCAAAACACTGCTTATAAGGATTCTCAAGGAACTCAGTGAGGACCTCAACAGCATAAAGACCCAGTCAGAAATTGATTCACTAACTGAAATGAACAATTTACAGGGAAACAACAGTAGAGTGGATGGAGCCAAGAATCAAATCTATGATTTGGAACATAAAGTAAAAAAACCACCAATCAGAACAAGAATTAAAAGTTCCAAAAAATGAGGATAGTATAAGCAGCCTCTGGGACAACTTCAAGAGATCCAACTGTCACATCATAAGAATGCCAAAAGGAGAACAGAAAGAGCAAGTAATTGAAAATCTACTTGAAAAAATAATGAAAGAAAAATTTGGCAAAGGAAATAGACATTCAAGTCCAGGAAGCACAGAGAGTCCCAATCAAGTTGGATCCAAAAAGGACCACACATCCTAAGATGCTAAGGGTTAAAGAAAAAAATTTTCTACAAGCAGCAGGAGAAAAGCAGTTACCTACTACCTACAAAGGAGTCTCCATAAGATTGTCAGCTGATTTCTTTTAAAAAAAAAAACAAAAAACAAAAAAAACCCCTGTAGGCTAGAAGGGGCTGCAAAGAAGTATTCAAAGTGATAAAAAGCAAGGACATACAAGCAAGATTACTCTATCCAGCAAAGCTATCATTTAGATTGGGAAGATAAAATGCTTCCCAGATAAGGTAAGGCTACAGAAGTTCATCACCAACAAGCCATTATTAAAATGAAATATTAAAGGGACTTAAGAAAACGGTGATCAAAACTATGAACATTAACAACTATCAACAACTGAATCTAAAAAATTAAGCCAACCACCAGAACAGAAACAGTAACAGGCATGGGGATCAGCTAGAAGAGGGAGAATGAGGGAAATGGTATAGGCATCAAGAAGCATTAATTGGTAGAAATGAAGTAGACAGGAGGGTGTGAATAATAATACAGGAAAGGAAGACACAAAAGATCTTACCTGCCTGACCCATAGACATGAACTGAGAGGGTAGTGGGATTTCTGCACTGCAGGGAAGGCGATGCCAGGAAGAGAAGGGCAAAGGGAAAAAAAAAATGGGACAACTGTAATAGCATAATTAATAAAATATACTTTAGCCCTGGTTGGTGCAGCTCAGTGGATTGAACGCAGGCCTGTGAATTAAAGAGTCACTGGTTCGGTTCCCAGTCAGGGCACATGCCTGGGCTGCAGGCCAGATCCCCAGTGGGGAGCATGTGAGAGACAACCACACATTGATGTTTCTGTCTTTCTCCTTCCCTTCCCCTCTAAAAATAAATATCTTAAATATATATTTAAAAATATACTTTTTAAAAAAGTGTAGAGAATTTTAAACCTTGCCTAGCAGTTTAATAGCTTTCTCTTCCCCTCACCTGCTTCTCATACACACACACATACACAATATATGGAACATCACCTGAGCTAATGCTTACTCTGGTAAGTAAGTAACAGTCCCAGCTACATTTTGTAAAACTTAAGTATAACATTATCATCAAGATTTCCAATGAAGGACCTGGTAAATAACTGAAAATCTGAGTTCACGTACACCCTGAGAAAACAGAAGGTACTGCAGACAATGCACATGGTAGAACTCAACAGTCCAAACAGAAAAGATACTCCAAAATACATTACAAACAAGTGAAGCAGCCAGAACACTTAAAGCACTGAGCAAGGTGCACTTACAGTGACCATTAATCTCCTACTTTACATTTGAGGACAGTTCAGTTACTCAAAAGCCATATGCTTACCAAAGCCAGAGATAACAAGGACTAAATACAAGTCTGGATTCTTGGCATTATATTCAATTAATTTCACTAGGTGTTAACTGTACTTTTAGTAGACTGAAATCCTTGAAGGGAAAATTCCTTATTGGATCCAAGGAATTTTATCCCACATTATTTTAAGCTAGTGAGAGAATAACCGAGAATTAAAAGCAAGCCCTAATTGTAGGAACTTCATAACACTGAAAAACTGGCCTGCAGATGCCTTAGTTCCTGCCTTCATTTGCATAAGAAATCAGGGACCACAAACAGGAAGCAATCATGGTTCTTCTCCAAAAAATTAGGTTGAAATTAAAGGTGTGGCTCATAGTACTCAAATCTATCTAGTGTGAATGAATAAAGAATCGGGGTTTGGGGTAAAGTATAAGAGGCACTAGATCCAGTTCCTGGCTTGCCTCTGCCACCTGTTGACTGACTGCAGTAGACACACTAATTCCATGTAATGACCAGATTTTTAAAAGGCTGCCCTTTGTCCAGGGTATCCACACTTTATGCTACCCACCTGCCAGTTACTTAATAGCCCTCTCAGTTTTTATAATTCTACTGATTAGTTACAGTTGTCGATCTCTTACTGTCCCTAGTTTATGAATTAAACATTATCACAGGTACAGATGAATAGAAAAAGACAATATACATCAGGTTCAGTACTATCTATTTTAAGGAGTCTTGGAGGATACTCTAACTATAGTCACACAAGGACGTTTGAATATCCTCACTCAACTTGACCTTATCCCGGGCTCTTCTTGATTCCTCTTCCATCC